GAAATAAAAAAGGTTTTTCCTTCGCCCAGTATTTCCTTCGTGGTACCTCGGCAAGAGACATCGCAGCTGCGATCACTCGTATAACAGTAATTACAGAGAAACTCGTTGTCCAAGGACATCATACACTCACTCACCTCACCCCCCCAGTAATTCATGGACTGTCGCCTCCCAGTAATAACACTTTTCTTTTCTGGAGTAGGAGGTTGGTGTATTTGGTTGTTTACCACATGCAAAACAAGTTCCAATTAGAAATGCCTCACAGATCTTTACGGGGAGGAAACAAATCGAGCAAAGTTTGATTACTGAGTTACACTTTTTAACTGATCGTGTGGGTGCGATGCATGGACCTCTCTTTAAAGGCAGGTCTCAGGCTGCTGTTCTCGTCTCCTTTGGATGAAACAATTCGACCAGGGCTGCGAAGCGAAAACTGGCTCAACACATTGCAAAAACCTGGTGTTCAGTTGTGTGGACTCTAACAGGAGTTGGGACATCTGAGAATAAAACACACCTGCTAGACAGGCTGTTAAGGACAGGGAGATGTTCTCAGGAGATAAAAGTTGTTGTTTAACTACAGAATGAAGGCATTTAGATAATTTCATTTTATTTTCAGAAAATAAACGTCCTCACGGGAAAATAACAGGTAATCACTAATAATGAGTTGATGGATTTAAGTGCCAACTGCGAGCCATTGAAGGTTTCCTCTAGCATGCAGGATGGGCAAGGCATTTGCTTTGCCTGTTTCTAGAACTTCCAACTTCCACCTTTTCTGCACTGCTTACGTTCAGTTTCAGGCATTGTTTTGAGGTGTTTTTACAGAAAAGACCAAAGATGTAGAGTACGGGATTGCAGTTAGTCTTCCATTAGTGGTGATTAATTTATTCCCATGTTAGAGGGATAAAGCTCTGGACAGCCCAGGGGACCACTGACACCCCTTCCCTAAGGTAGGAAGTTTGTGGGGTGGGAGCAGGGGATGGCAGGCCCAGCACCGGGGCTGGTCATCGGCTGCTGGGAGTCAGTTTGCTATACAGTCTGACAAGCTGCTGAAATTTGACTACAGTATAAGTAAATGACAACTTGAGCTGCAGCAACAGAGCTATGTGTTAGCATCACCTGGTAGTTACTTGCAGAAGCTGGAGATTAGTTGTTCAGTGCGCAGTGGCGTTGCTGCAGTCGTCCCTGTGCAAGGAGTGAAGAGCCAGGCTCCTGTTCAGCAGTGACCTGATTTCAATGCAAGTGTAATGCCTTCACTGGAGCTCGCTGCCTGAGTGTTTTGAATATCAGGATGTAGAGACATGCCTGAGAAATACCTTAGCCTAAAACAAGGCATTAGTGATGCTAAGTCCATTGCTGACATTTAAGGAAAAAAAACTTCACTGAGTATCTGGGACACAAGAGATTTTAAAACATACCTTGATACATTCTGTTTTCATTTGCTAATTATTAACTAAAACCTAGATCAATCCTATTTACACTTAGGCAGCACCTATAAGTAGGCACTTATCTGAAACTCCTTCATTAGAAACTTGTTTCTTCCAGAGCCTCTCAACAGTCAAAGGAAAGAAATAGCCTCATGTTGTTAGTGTGAGTCAGCCTAGCTAAGATTTTTGTCAACTTCTGGAGGTGGCTGCCTTCTCCAAAAACTATCCAGGAAGCCTACGGTGACTGTGCTCCTGAAGCAAGCAGTCCTCTTTCGATGGATGAAATCTGGCCATAAGTTGCTGGCACAAAGCTGTCACTTCACCTGTACGTCTGGCAGATGAAAACCTTTTTTTTTAGTGCAAATGTCAGAAAATGTGCACTGTGGCCTCCAGTTGCTTGTTTTTTTCTTACAGAGAAAGCTTGTTTTCATGTTTTAGGACAACACAATCACCCACTGCTCTGAGCCAATATATTTTTTTTCTAACAGACAATCTAACAAACTCTGTGCAATATTAACCATGCAGAAAGGTCAGCCAAACACTTGCAGACATCCAGGTCTCCCTCACTGCTCCTTGAGTTCAAAGCATGGTTCCATCATGTTTGTGTTGCTGAGCGAGCACACTTCCAACTCTGTCACAGGTCAGCAGATCAGGATTTACCTTTCAGCCTTCTTTTTATTAGTGATTACTGAACATTCAACTTTTGACAATATGTATAATAGGTACTCTAAGTGTCAGTATAATTTTCATTAGGCTGTGCTGAGATTTTCTTTGCTTGCTATGCAGTCAGTGCCTGCAATCAAATTTGACAGTGTTCTGACTGAGCATTTCTGTTTCTACCCCAAAGAGGCTGAATCTTCTGGGATACCTAATTTAGGTAAAGTAACTCTATTACTGCTTTAGATTCATTTAACAGCTTTCCCTGAGGTCACTCATGCATTGACTTCAATGCAGCAAACCCCTTCCTCATTTTAAAATCTCCACAGAAAAGCTGCTGTACCAGCAGCCTTACACTGGTAGCATCTGTGCTCCTCACCGTGGCAGAACAAGCAGTCCCAGTGCCTAAAACAGCCATCTTCTGCTTTAATGCCCTTTCTCTATTCACATGCATATTTCCTAACATATACAAGCATACAGTCAGTTGAAAATAGCCTTGTGTAATAGATTTACACTCTCAGCATTTCATCTCAAGACACAAAAGTACTCGCTACCAGTTGGGGACACTGATTAAAAAAATCACCACCTGAATTAGACTCGAGCGTTTTCTCTACGGTTTCCATCACTGCATAACAATACTACCTCTTTATTCTCTCTGTTAAATGCAAACTGCTAAGTGTCAAATTTTACTTCCACTTGCTGATGAATACCTGTTCCCAGTGGAAAGCTGGGCAACAGCGTTCTAGATTTACATCCTTCATCCCTGCCAGAACATCACAGCCTATGAGGCAAATAAGCTTTTCCTCAATTTTCTCAGAGAAGAAGTTGCAAGTCCAATTTTCTTGAAAAAATGCAGCCTTCCATACCTATTCCTTCTTTCTCTCTTGATCACACTAGTTATATGCATTCACTGTACATTCAGAATGACTTTAAAGACAGCTAGTAACTGACTGTATTCAAATTAGAAACACGGTGTTGTCAGGTGCAAAATATGCCTGCTGGTGTAATGAATTAGTGTAGTGCTGAAGAATGCTTGGGAAGATGTCAAATTCTCCTCTATTCTAGCCGTAAGTACCACATCATTCTTCATCTCCCCTTTTTTGTAGTTGGAAAGGGTGGTAGAGAACCTGAAATGTCTTTTTTTTTTAATTCTGGGGACTCTAGTCATCTCTTGTTTCAAGTGTGACAAATTCTTTTTATCCCATAAAGGACTCTGAATTGTTCTCCTTTATTCTGTTGTAGGATCTAGAGTGAGGTGGGAAATTAGAAACCTAAACTCCAATCGTTTTCTCTTTACCCTTGTAACCATGTTTCCAAGAAGTGGGTAAATCCTGAACATCCCCTTGTAGGAAAAGTGGAATTCCAAATCCTTTGGCCCCTCTTACTTTGGAGGGTGACAGGGAGTAACTTCAAGGCAAGCCTAGAAATTTCTGTTTTATTCACATAGAGCAAGGAGGATAATCCCATTGTAACCTGGGAGGGGACATGTAATGTCTGGATGCTTCCTTATACCTGGAAGGCAAGGGCTACAAAGCCTTCCCAGTCTTGCAAACCCTCCTTCAGGGGAAACCGCAAATCCATTTCAACCCTGAATCACAGAAGGTGATGAAGGACAGGGAGGAAGTTGAAACACCACCTTGGAATGCCATTTCATTGGAAATGACATCTTGGAAATGCTTTTGCTTCTGGGAGGCCTCAAGCACCTCCCCGTTATCCAGATGATGAGACAAGAGTTTGTAGGTGATCCCCCTGTCTTCAAAAGTGCCTTCTGAATTGGTGGAAGAATGGATGGGCAAAAAGAGAAGGGAAAAGAAGTGGCTTCTCTCCCGGGAAGGGAGATAGTGAAGAAATGGGTACAGCCTCACTCTTCCTGTCCTGGGCAGGTGACATGGGCTTGGCTGGCAAGAAGGGTCCAGAGCTGAGGGAAAAGTCAGGGGTGTTGGAGAGAGGAGAGAAAAGGGTGCCTCTTGCCAACTCCAGCCATGCAGCTCATAAGCCACAGGCTTCAGCCCTGTTTTAGGCAGGAACCGAACCCTGG